GGAGAGGGCAGCCTGGAACACACAGAAGGGCTGATTTAACTTGTAGAGGAGATTTATTTTGCATTTTGCTCAAAATTTGATAGGCTTTTGGCAAGTGTATGAAACAGTCATAGATTTGGCAGTCTTCTGCTAGCAGATTTGAAATGTTCAATCCTTAAGAACTGCTGCATCGTTAGGTTATGCAAAACAGGGTGCAATTTTGTAAATATGCCATCTTGTACTGATTTGACATTTGTTCTATTATCCCAGAATATGCCAAAGGGAGAGAGACCTTCAGATTTAAGCCAAACCTTAACTTGTTTGTGGAGTGCTGATAAAATGTTGACTGCTGTGTGATCTTTAAAGCAGCCAGTGTTGCTTATGAGGCCTGAGGTAGAGCCCCCTGTCTGGGGTTGATGGAAGCTCTTTCCTTGGCATCTCATAGGTACAGTTGTTTGATAGATGTAAACAAGTAAAACATCTGACATAGTGGGTTGGATTAATTTTTTCTCATAAATGTTTTCTGTGGCCTCTGCTGTGGCATTAACGATATTTCCCCCAACGGCACCCTTTAAGATTATTTACGCAGGATTGAGTGCAAGGAGGAGAATCCATAGAGCAAGCCAATAAGGCCAAGGCAGTATACTACTGAGTTGCTGAGTTGTTGTCCTTTAGACCCTGTGACTGCTTGCCCCTTCTGTAAGGGCCTGTGGATGGTGATAACTGGCTGTGATGTCAAGTGACAAGAAAATATGATGCTCAGGGATATAGGCTTTGGAGTTTGAAAGATCTGTACTGAAAGTCTTCTTCCTTTACTCACCACAAGTATGAGCATGAGGTGGTCATATTACCTCTCTGAACCTCAGTTTCTTCACCCAAATAATGGGGATAATCAGATATGCCTCACAGAGTTGTAGAAATGATTACATGAAACAGCCGTGTCTGCCATGAAGAAAGCTTTCAAACCACAGCAGCTGCCACCATTTTTATCTTCAGGAAGCAAATTGTCCTTATGGTTTCTAGATGGCACAGGGGGTAGCTTAAAAATTGTTATACCTCCTGTTTCTCGCAGCAGTTCCCTATTCTCATCAGCTCTTTCTTTTATTTCAAAAATACAAAGATTTATTTGTTGGAAGGTATCTGAGGAACCAGCATGATCCAACAAGCAGCCACAGATGGTTCTTCTTGGGGATCGAAGGAAAAGCTCCTCACAGAGATGCTGTGGAATCGGCACTGCCACTGGACCAATCCTTTCCACTTCTCTCTGCCAGACTGTTGCTGGCAGAGGGGCTCTCCGGAAGTTTCTAGCCTCAGGAGAGTGCCAACTGCACCACCATTGCATCCTTGCCCATTTATCACTCCGAGCTTCCTTTTTAGTCGGTGGTGATAGACTATTCGGCTTCTAACTTAGTCATCCATTTCCTTTTTTATTTCTCTTTCCATGGATAGGCAATGGGCGATCATCATCCTATTCGGGTGGTTTAAAATAGCACAGTTAGTGTCTTCTTGATCATCAGTCACACCTTGAGGGGATGCATGCATTTCCTTCACTGGCTTTGCATGTTTCCTTCACAGCTTAAAGCATGCCACACAGTGGGCAGTAGAGTCTTAATGGAGAAGCCAAGAGGCACAGTCTAGGGGACAATGATCAGTCTACCTACCAGTGGTTCCAGAGGTAAAGGGGCATCATTTCATTTGGGGGAGGGGGTTTGTTCTCTGCAGCCTGAGAGCCTCAAAAGGAAGTATGTTCCTTGCATTTGCCTGTCTTGCTCATAGAAAGGTCCCCCTGGAGGCTTCTCCCAGTGAACAGGGGAAGTGTGCAGTGAAATGGCACATTTATCTTGTAATTGCAGGGGAAGCTTTTGTTTTATTTTTCTCTTGCTGCATTAAAGTATTTGTCTTTCTTTCTTTGTAGTGTAATATTGTTAATGTAAAACAATTTGCATCATGACACTTTTATCACAGTTTTCCTCTTTTTCTCAGTATGTTGCATTTCTCACCATGTCTAGTTCATCACAGCTACAGTGTGTACATCACAACATTTATCTTAGGCTCAGGGTTTTACTTGTTTATAAAAATTGTCTTCTTTCAGCCTGTATTCACTCCATTTAAGAAAAAAAAAGGCAGCCAGAAACTGTTTTGGTCCAAACTCCAGTAGTTCTCACATTCCTTGCTAACTGGCCTGTGTATTTATATGTCTCCTAACTATTACTCTATGTTTCAATGACATTTCTTCATTTCATGGCACGGGGAGGTTGTAGGAGCAGCTTTTGCTGTTCATGCTGCCAAGCAAGACAGGCCTGTGAGGCTGCTGAAGGTGAGGTGAGGTGACGCAATTATATATCTGGGTCAGGTCTGGGTGTTAAAATTGATTATCTTCTGTGAGCAAAGGGCTGAATTTAACTTAGGGAGAAACAAGGTGGCAGGAAGTCAGCACAGGCGCGAACATGACTAGTAGAGTAGACACTGAGAAGGGCCCTGAAGGGGCCCTGGTCCTGCAACTCACAATGTTATGCCTCACCACAAGTCTAGCCTCAGCCTTTCCTGTCTGCAGCTTTGATTGGTGGGTAACAGTGCCTTTTAGTAAGGTTTAATTTGATCCTCTCTTCTCTGAGGGGCAGAAAATTGCTCGAGGTTTTGTGCTACATTAAGTTACACATCACCGCATCAGGAAACACACCCCTCAGATAGCACAGGGCTGTTCAGGCCAGTCTCACTTCTAATTATTTTGTTGTGAGATGGCACGGTGGCTCAGAATCCAGAGTACCCATTATTATTATGTACTTCAAGTTCTAGGACAGCTAATTAACATTTCATTTCACACTGTTCCTTTGCTGGAAGACAAATCATAAGCAGCTTGGAATTTCAGAAGAAATGACAGAGAAACAAAGAAGGTAAAGGAGTTTTCCCACTAGATGTGGTCCAGCTCTGACACTTCCTGAGAATGGACTGCTGCAAGTGCTTGTTTTCTGAATCTCCACAGAACAGGGTTGGTATAGACCTATTTCGTACATGGATTCAGCAGTACTTTTATGACTCCTTCACGATGTTTAGCACAGTGGCAGACACAAGAGTGAATGTTCAAGGAATGGCAGCTATGATCCTAATGCCACTGCATAGCAGTTGAGAATGGACACATCTTGCTATGCTTTGGAATGAGGATATTTTATTCTGCCTACTTCCACCCTTTCCACTTAACTCTGAAAAACCAGAAGCAAACATAATCAACAACACCAGTGCTTAATAATTTAATTTAATTGGCAAATATTTAACAATGTATTAGATGCTAAGGATAATGCACAATATAAACAAGTTCTTTTTCTTAGGGATTTTATTGTTTAGTTGGATACAAATAAATGTTATTTGACTAGATGAAAAAAATGAATGGATGGAAATAAAAGTGGTAATGCTGTGATGGATAGATGCATGTTTGCATGCATGTTTGGATGAGTGAATTCATACATGGACAGATTTATAGATTTATCTGGGACACATCACCAAATAAAAGCTTCTCTAAAATAAAATTAAAGTATAACTTTAATGAACTTGCAATGTTCATCCCAAAACTTTATCAATAAATTCTCAATTTGGTTCAAAAATTTAACATGGTCAGTACAAGATGGAATCAGCCTGCATAGACAGAAGAGGGCATTTACTCTGAGCTAACTAGGACAGGGTGACATAGGAGTCTCAGTCAATGGAAATATTTTTGGTTAGTGCACTGAAATTTGTAGAAAACACATCTACATATTTTCTAGAAGCATTAAATCACAGAATTTTCATACCAGCATTAGCGATTAACTTTAAACATGCTTCTACCATTTCTCCTGACTCTTACGAGGAATTATTCCTATTCCCATTTTTACAGAAATCAAGACTCAAAGTGCAGCCAGCATGTGTCTCCAGTTGCCTAGCTGAGCCTAACTATAAACACTGTGGCTGTACTCCATACCTTTCCTGACAGACCAGCAGGACTCCCATAAAAAAATATTTAGAGTATATTAGCTCTGATGGTAGAGATGTCATTGAAAGACAGATCTGGACTCGTGAAGTTTCACCAAGGTGCTGCAGCACTGAGCTGGCCTCTTTTGAGTCCGTGGAGAAGCTGATGCTTCTTTCCCTATCCAACCCATTCTAGGACAAGCAGAACAGACTCTAGCTCATTGCTTCCCACTCTTTTCTCTTCATCTCATCATTGTAAATAGTCACAAATTTAAATAATCTGACTCATGCTTTCAGTGGCTTTTTCATCCAAGGACCCTATCCTCATTGTAGAAATCCCAGCTGATTCATACCACAAAGTGGACCGTCCCGCCCTTCATCCTGTTCCCCTGGACGACTTGGGAATGACACCTAACAGCAACGGTTTTTCCAAAATTCAAAATGAGAAAGGCAACAACCACCCACTGATTTTGAGGACATCCTTAATCTTTTTCACCCTTTCCCCTCCCATATGTTGCATTTGCTTAAGTTTTAAACATCTGTTCCCAGAGAGGTAATATTTTCTTTTCATTTAGAACCTAGCAATGTGGACCAAAGTTCACATGACATATTGCAGAGTATGTTTAGTTGCAAATGCTATGTACAGGCTCTTTGAAATGTAGCATGTATGGCACCATGTGACACATGGTTGCTATGGTAATACACTTTTTGGCTGAACTACAGCAGAAGCCCATGGAACATACATTGCTAATATGAGACTCTGCCCTGTGTTAATGTATAGGACACAGTCAATCTGAGATCTGGGACTTAAGGGATTTTGATTTCAGCCCAGGGGACAGGTACCCTAGTCTGCTTATGCAGGAAAGATGTGGCATCCTCTCCTCCAGCCCTGTCTTCCAGGCACAGGGCATGCCGTGCATGCTGCCATGCATGAAGACAGCATTTGCTTGAATATCGGTTTGCTATATTTTGTATCAAAGGGGGCCCCAGCTGAAAACATTTTATTTTGTAAACTGAAGTGAAAAATCAGTTATGGCAGATCCTTTTTTGAATAATGACATTCTTTTTCCCAATTTCAGAATTCAACAGTCATGAGCAGAGCTGAAAATTTTAAACAAGTTGAGTACCTCCTTATTCATGGAACAGCAGATGGTGAGTTTCAGTTAATTAGACTTTTTAGTATCACAGACAGGTTTGCAATTTCACTACTGACAAAACAAAAGCATGAGGGGCAAGACTGTTACATTTACTTCAATAAAACAGTGTTGCTTTCCACAACTCACTTGTCTTGGGCTAAATGGGATGCTGAGTCCTAGAACTTCAGTCACTTTCTTATGCCTTCCCCACCCTTTGGTATCTGAAAACTTGAGAAGATATTAGCTACTTGTTTCCTTTCTTTTCCTGCAGATAACGTCCACTTTCAGCAGTCAGCTCAGATCTCCAAAGCCTTGGTGGATGCTGGAGTAGATTTCCAAGCAATGGTATAATGAAATTTTGTGTGGGGGCGGGGCGGGGGGCAAAGTGCCTGGTGGATCTAGTTTCCTCTTTGGGGACTGCTTCTTCCCATAGAGTCCCAGGAGACAGGAACAAAATAGGAGGGCTTTCATTTTTCCCGTGTGAAGTTGGAGACGTGATATCCTTGAGTCATAGATCAAGTAAACATTAGAGAGTTTAGGGTTGAGAAGCACAATATGACATATCCTAGGAGTGTCAAAACACTACTCTCCTATTCTTGTGATTGTTCAGTCTCTCCCTGTTTTGATTTGAAAGTAATCATTTATTTCATAAATGTGTGGCAGAGTAATTCTAAAGTGAAACCAGCATGATAATAGCTCAGCTGAAATGTAAAATCCGTTTCTGTTATTATGTATTACTAGCCATCCTAACAACAGTGGGATATTAATAATCAGCATGCTTCAGTTGCTGCAATTGCTATGTTATCTTTTGTTGAACTGCAGGCAATAAGCAATTAAGCTTGTTTTATATTGTCAGAAATGGCTGGAGCTGCTTTTGCCTGTGCAGAGGATGTTTCAGGCGGGATATATAGTCTAATTCATTTTCTATATTATAAAATCTCAGATTAAGAAGGAAAAAATACACATAATATGATGCACTAATAGTGTTATTATGTAAATGCAGCTTTCTTATCTGTTTTAGCTGGAACAGCCTGCTCTCCCCATTCTTCTAACATGATCTTCCCGGTGCTCAGTTTCAGTGGTGCTCACTGTACAGGAGTGGAGCTGCTATTTTATACCAAGAAAACCTGGCATATCTTTTGGGCCAGATTCTTAGAAGAAGTTGAGGTTTACTTTTTCCCTATTCAAAGCAAAACCACATGATACTTGAAGCAATTTTTAAAAAAATTAACTTATGTCTCTATAATATCTTTTTGCCTGGCAATGACTTCCCAAGCATTTTAAAAGGTATAAGTTCACACATTGCCTCAGGTCATAGACTCTGTCTCATAAATGTCAGACACACAGATTTTTAAAATTCCAACATAAAATATAAGTGTTGGTAAATATACATTGACTTTTAACTTCACTTATGGTATATACACAGCTGTAATATTTAATTGACTTTTTTCTAACTCCTTAGAGGCATATATTAGAAAAATTGCTTTAAAAATTAATTTGCTTTAATACATTTTATCCGCCTAGAGTATAGGGAAATCTCCTGCTTGCTAGGGCTTATTCAAACAAGTATGCCTGGGGCTGGAAAGATGGCTCAGTAGTTAAAAGCACTGTACTGGCTGCACTTGCAGAGGACCAGGGTTAAGTTCCCAGCATCCACATGGTGGTGGAAAACCATCTGCAAATCCAGTTCCAGGGAATCCGACCCCCTCTTCTGGCTTCTGCAGGCATTGCAGGACATGGGTGCATGCAAAACACTCATACACATAAAATAAACAATAACAAATTTTTCTGAATAAGTGTCCTTTGGTCATGTGTGAAAGTTGATTTACGTATTTTATTTAGAATTCACGTTTTTGTAAAGTAGTATGCAGTAAAGCTGAATGCATGGTGCATTTTCTCAGCACCTGAAGAGGATCAGAGACTTCTGTAGGACAGTGCATCTTGAAAAGGTCTGGGGGTCGGGTGGGTGCTAGACACCCTTTTTTGATCATGCTTATAAGCTCTTCCTGTTTTATATCATGTGAGACCTCATCTGAATTTTAGCTGACTTCCTAACTCTGCACTTCTCTCTGCAGTGGTACACTGATGAAGACCACGGAATCGCCAGCAGCACAGCACACCAGCACATCTACACTCACATGAGCCATTTCCTCAAACAGTGCTTTTCTTTACATTAGCACCCCAAAAATGGCTTGCTATTTACAGTGTATTAAAAACTGTGTTTGTTCTCATTATCTCAAAATGGCACTATTAAGATCATCATCTTAATAACATTCAAATCAAGACATTTAAGGCCACCTTTGTTTCCAGTTTCATTCCTGCAATCCTAAGTAAGGACGTCTGTCTTCACAACAGATTATTACCTTACAGCAATTTGGATTTTTCAGTCTGGTTTTGTTTATCATTTAAAATAATTTCCATATCAGTTGCTGAAACAACAAATATAAATTATTTTTATGATAGCTTTGCATAGATTCCATGAGAGGTATTTCAGTTTTTTTTTTTTTTCAAACTAGACTAGTCCAAATCTTGTTCCCTTATTTAAAGAGATGACAAGATGTGGGCAATGATGTCACTAGGGTACCAATAAGAAAACAGGGAATAGGGAGAGGAAATTACAGAATACGGCTAGAAGCCCAAGTCCAAGCATACCAGCCCAACCAGGCTACTGTCAGCTCGCCTCGAGAAGAGCTGTTCTCTGCCAGACTGGCACAGTTTTCTGAGAAAGACTACTCAAACAGTCTCAGGAAATCATATATGCAAAGCGCTGACTTCTAAGTAAAACCACAGCAGTTGAATAGACTCCAAAGAAATGCAAGGGAAACTGCCAGCAATTTAAGGACCCCAGGTGCCAGTTATGGCTATAGGTGCTATAAAAACACAACAGGGGTGATGGGAAAGCATTGTAAATGTGCTTTAAAAAAATTACTGATGTTTCCTAGTGAAAAGAGGCAGCTTGGAACACATCAACTTGCCCTGTTAAAAGTTGAAAATATTTGTATCACAAATTCTAACATGAAGGAATACTTGCATTAATTTTTCTTACTTCATTTCTTTGAGCATGGTAATTAAAATATTTTAACTTCATGGGATTTTTTAAGTGGAAAATAAACTAGAATGTTGTGTATTATTGTTTCTACTCTACATACTGTGGAAGTTCTCCTGGTCATTTAATAAATGTGCCTTCATTTTTTCAGAGATAATGGGTTTAATGTCTTGAATCAAACCTAAACCACATTGACATATGGACACATTTTTTTCAAAAGGGATCTTGTTTAACTTGTTAGTAATCCAAGACTACCTTGTAAACATGGAAAGAGTTCAGCTTTAAAAAAATTAGATACATAAAAATGTGTAAGTTAAATAATTCATACGGTTTTATCTAATACACATAAAATTTCTGTTCTCATATCTAACACATAGCTTTTTAGAAATCAGTAACAGTTTAGTCATTTATATAATATATGACATAATTTACAATTTTATTCTAGAGAACATGATGAGGTTCATATTATAAGAAGAAGTACAATTTCATGCCAGTAGTGGTGGCACATGCCTTTAGTCCCAGCACTCAGGAGGCAGAAGCAGGCCGATCTCTATGAGAACCAAGACAATCTGGTCTATGTAGTGAGTTCTAGGCAGGCTAGAGCTAGGGAGACCCTGTCGAAAACAAAATTAAAAAAACAAGAAGCAAGCAAACAAAAAGAAGAGTATCATTGTGGTACTTTTGATAACTCTGTATAAGCAAAACACAAAAGGGCACGTCAACTATTTAAGTTTCCCACCAGTTATTTTGGTTGATGTAGTTAATTTAAAAAGCTGCCTTTTTGGGTTGATGTAATTAATAAAGAAAGCATAGACTCCAGACTGTGCATTTGATTTAGCAATGCCTAGATAGCTTAGAAAGTACGATGTTTTGTTTCAATTATCATAAAACAGCTGCTTTTTTTTTTTTTTTTTTTTTTTTTTTTTGAAAAAACTGAACCATATCACTGACCCAGTAATAATTATTTTGCACCTTATGGACTACATGATCTTGACAAGCTAATCAGCTTTGTTAGCACACAAGTAATGTATATATGTAAGAACATGGCTATGTTCCAATATATCTCTTTTTTTTTTGGTCTTTTTGAGACAGAGTCTCCCAGTAGCCCCAGCTGTCCTGGAACTCACTATGTAGACCAGGCAGGCCTTGAACTCACAGAGATCCTCCTGCCTCTGCCTCCCAAGTGCTGGGATTAAAGGCGTTGCTTTCAGAGCATTTGCTAGACAAAATTATCTGTGATAATGTCTGTACAGGGTGAGCTATAGCATAAAAAATCTAAAAGTGGAAGAAATGAAAGCAGTCTATCAATTCAACATGAGAATGGTGAGTCACACATAAAATGGACAGGGAATTGTGAGACTCAGCTTCAACTCTATCTGCAGAGCATGCCATTGATTCATTTCACCCTTTTTCTACCCTAAAGCCCTATTCATCCATTGGAAGCATAGCAGCACTCAAAACTTGTTTCTTGTCATAATATTATTTCTGAACATAGCTCCATCATCATGAGTAGCAGGCCCAGTCCTTGAAGTTCTATATCAAGGAAGAGCAGTGATACAGGTTCCAAGCTTGACAGCATTAAATCATAAGAGAAAATTAAAAGGAAATCATCCCTTATGAATTTATTAATCAATACTACATTATAGAATAAGCCAGATTTTGTATTAATAACTCCTATATAGAATATTACCTAATATGTATATAATATCAAAACCATTAATACTTTGTTCCTTTTATTTCTAAATATGTTGTTTCTTTTCTAGAGCCTCAAGTAATAAAAACAAAGTCACATCACATATTTTTCAGGCAATGAGGGTTTCAAATGGAGTTCAAAGTTTTAATTTGACTCTCATAGGATAAGTTTTATTCTTCAATAAAAGTTACAAATTATATAAGGAAAAATATACAAATTAGAGATAAACTTAAGGGTAATTTTGAAATACATAAGAACTAATAATACCACTTAGATTTGCGGACTTCTCTCTCATGGCCACACACAACCTCTACAAGCTTGTGGTGACTAAGACTCCTTTCACAAACAATCCTTTAGAGTGAACCAGTGCCTAGGGTCACATGGGCTAAAGGGAGAAATGTTTCACATTTTATCTATGGATGCAAGATTTGTTTTTAAGTTCTTTGTGTCTTTAGAAAATTACTTAAAATCTATGCCTTTAAACATTTTTGCTCTGGAAACCATGCTAAAAGATTATCTTCACGATTTCTTAAGTAGGCACCGAAATGCCTACTTAAATAAATGTGCTACTGAAGACTCAGAGACGGGTGATTACCCCAGGGTCTGCTAGATTATGGATTATTTTGTTTCCCTTCTCATTCACAGAGTATGAGCAGTTCCACCTCTTGGAACTCACTTGCTGCATTTCCTCTAAGTTGAAGTGAGAATACTGATTGATAAGACTACTAGATTTGTATAATATCTAAGATTCAATCAATTCTAAGTGAAAAACCATACCAAAACACAAGCACTTTTTTGTAAAGTAAGATAACTTTGTTGTGCCAATTTTGTGACAGTTATTTCAGTAGTGTCCAAAAAATATTTTCACATACATCCTGAGTGACCTGAAGTATATATTCAAGATGTCTTTTGGATACAGATGGTTGTAAATGAGACACAAATGTGGGTTATAAAGTATAACATCACTGGCTACCCCATAAAACCATCTCAGAGTGTAGAATTAATAAGACCAGTGTGAAGCACAGTAGGGATTTATCATCTTTCTGCATGCCACTTTTCTTTAACAATATTAACACTTAAGCCCAAAAACTCAAATTAATAAAAAGAGAGAGATTTTTTTCTGCTATTGAGAAAGGTATGTCTTTGGTGGCTTATAGATTTTAAATATCAACAAAGTTCTTATTCTATATAGCCTTTCTGAATAAATTCTCCAAGCTTGTGAAATTATTTTAAAAACATGCATCAAGTTACTGGAATGTGTGATAATTCATCAACCAAAATCCTTAATTACACCCATCTTTTGATATCCACAGGAAATTGGTTCTAGATTCCTCCTGCAGATATACATACCAAAATCCAAGGATACTCAAATATCTCTGTGAAATGGCATAATATATACATAAACTGAGGCATAATCTTCTGCACATGTTAGACAATCTGTAGATTATTCTAACACTGAGCCCAATGTAAATGCTACATTGCTATGCTGAAATTACAAGAGGAGAAGTGTATGCATGTTGAATACAGGCAAAATTATCTTCAAAATATTTTTGAACTGTGATTGTTGAGTCTCAGATATAAGACATGAAGATTTGGGGGCACTTACTATATTTCTTTATGCTGTTCCTATCCAAAGTCATGATTTTGTGAATTGTGAGCCAAATTTTTTTTTCCACTGGGTAAGTTTTGCTCTGTTGTTAATTACAGAGAAATGACTGATAAAGTAAGTATAGAGTATTGAGAAGTGTCACTCACCCTGATTCTGGTTCCATGAACCAAGGTGAATACCCTATTAGGGAGAAACAAAATCCCTTCTTACCTTTTCCTTAAAATACAGTACTGTTCAGGTGAGGCCAGATGTGCAGCAGTTAGGTAATCAGCTCTTTGACAAACACAGTGTCCAAGCAGAATTATCCAGAATCTTTGAACTGAACTTCAGTTGAGTTTGAAAAAAATTTATAATTTCCTACCTCAGAATGGTTTCATGACTGAGAAGATTTACATATATGTGGTGCCTGACATCTTTCAGCTTTTCTTTCCTCCTACTCACAGTGCCTAGCAGCTTTTCCCAACTTCGTGAGTTCATACATTGCATGACTTGTTGCCTTAAGCTTCCATGTCCATATGTGCTGGACCTATGTAGTCAAATATGCACTGTTGTTCTCTACTGAACATTTTTAAAATTCTACTTAGATCTTTAACTATTCTTGAGCTGAGCGACATTGTCTTTTGACACACATTACTTACGCTTCTATAATAATTTTTGCTGGGTGGGTAAACATCAGAACATAGAACTGGGCTCTGGAGAGCTACAAAGGAGGGCTAAAACACTACTACTGCCTTCAAGAAGCTTATAAACAAATGGAGGAATGAGGCCACTTGACAGAAGACTATGAGTCCTCACCCAAAAAGAAAAGTACCTAGATACAAAGCTCAGTGCACAGAAAGAATACATGAGGGTGAAAGGCTTCAAGAGTAGCCAAACAACATGGGGACTGAAAAGATACCTCATCAGTTCAGGGCATTGGCTGCTCTTACAGAGGACTGAGGATCTGTTCTCAGTACGCACATGGCAGCTAACAACCATCTGCAACTCCAGTTCCAGGGGAGCTGACACCCTCTTCTGACCTCTGTGGGCACTGCACGACACAGGTTCACTTCCGCACATGCACGCAATACACTCATACACATAAAATAAAAATAATAAATAAAATATGTTTATCAGAAAAGAGTAGCCAAACATCTAAATGTCGCTAGTAAAGCATCATCAGACATTCTTGGCTACCGACTACTGGCCCACTCTCAAAATAATTAGAGACCAGCTATATTACTTTCATAAAACTTTGAAATGGTTGTCCTCTACTTTTTTTTCCAAGACAGGGTCTTGTTGTATTCAGACAAAGCTGACCTTGAACCCACTATGTAGCCAGGCTGCCTTCAGACTCATTGCAGACCTCCTGCCTTAGCCTCCCATAGGTGTATGGCACTATATCCAGCTGTCATTTTATTTTATTATATGAATATACAAGATGAGCATATTGAAAAATTAGAGGGTACTCTTTCAATGATAATTAAATAGGCAAATGCTCAGGAGTAAAGAAGCTCTAGTTAGACAGAAGCAGAAGATGTTTGGTGAGGATAAGAAACAACATAAGTCACACTTTTAAGACATGAGAAATCCTGAAAGATGTAGACGTCATCAGTGGAATGTTCCTATCAGGCTATGAGCCTGAATCACACCAGGAAGCATTCAGGTTATAGTTAAGAAAAATGTGTATGTTGTTAAGTAGTAGCGATAACAAAATAAACTTACTAGTCAAGAGAAATACTATCAGGTTAGAGTTCAGAATGCAATTATCTGCACAACACACTGCCAGATGGCTACAAAAGAATCGTGGTTCCATTTGACCTTTATAACAAATAAGGAGGAGACACATTTTAGGGGCTGCTTTCCTCATGTGGGTTAAAAACAGGAGTTAAGGAGCTTTAATAATGGGGAATCCTACTAATGAGGATTTATTTCAGTAACAAAAATAAAGTCTTTTGCACCGTGTTCTTTGGGATAAGGAGGATAGACACCCTTATATACTTCTCATTATATTCTGTTCATAAAGTCAAGTTGCTTGAATCTTCTTGAAATGTTTACATCACCACTGTTTCTTAACTGTGGGGATATCTTAATTTAAATATTATGTTTATATAATCAGTGCTCTACCTTCATATTGTTTAATATGAAGGAAAAACAAAGACAAGACACATTGCACACGTTTGAAATATGCAAGAAAATTAGTTAGGATAAATATTTATTTCCACATAACATTTTTTAGTTTTGAAAAACACAATATCCTAGTCACATTTACACATTACTTAAATGTTGCAATAAGTTACATTCAGGATAGTCAGCAATTTTGACCAGGAATCTGAAATTAGGAGTAAATATATAATACTACATTTTTTTCTTATATTTTATGTGATTTCAAAATATTAAGATTAACATAGAGATAGCATTAAAATTCACACAAGAACAAAATTGCTATAAAAATACTCAGAAATACATAATTTTGTTGAATGATTGCTTATTCACATTAATGATTATGTGAAGGAGTTAATTCACTGGATCATTTTAACAGGACAGATATTAATATAGTAAAACACTACAAGACTGCTTTGGGGACTGACTTGCTAAATCATAAAACAATAAGACTGTTCAAGATGGAATATCAGTATTACAACATAAACAAATGTAGCACATTTGCAACAGAAAGTTTCTATATTTTTCTTTGCCATGTATAAATACAAACTTTATTAACTGCAAATTCTTTTCATAATTTGGATCATATTTAATAAAAAAGAGCTCCCGAAAGAACTGTGAGGAAACTGTTTTTGAAACGATATCAAAATGTTAAAGTTAATGTGGGCTTTGTTGGTTTTTAACCCTCATTAGCTTAATAACAAAGAGGAATTTTTTCCAATCATTATGTGCATTTACACAGCGTACGCAATTAATAGTTCATAAAAGCCACGTGGCTCTTAACTATTCTAAAATTGGACATTGATAGATTATAAGATTGATGGTCACTGATAATTCTTAGGAAGTAAGAACTCTATGAGATTTAGTTTTTATTAACTCACATTCATCTAAAATGAAGTGAAATCTATATTTAGTAACGCTTAAAAATCCTTCACTTCCTTCTTCGTGCATAATCTTAGTAACGATGGATTATTTCATCCAGACTCAAATATGTACATAACCTTCTCAAACAGAATCTGAAAATTTTATTTCAAAGATTGTTTTTCCACAACATGCACTTAATTAAAATGTAGAAAAGAGCTTTGCAGAAAAAAATATAATTGGGGACCTGTTGATCTAACATGATAACATGATTCAGGACTGGAATAAGCAGCACATGACCACTGGCAGCAGAATAACTGTACAGGAATGGAATTTCATGTACAATGGTTTACCATGTGGTATTCCATAGTATGTAGTGGTAAGTGTATTTTGGAACCAATTGCTGTCAATGGCAAAAAAAAATTCAATAGCACATTTCTGATAAAATTTTAAATGAAAAAGTCCACAAAACTGTTACAAATTTCTCTAAAGTATTTCGTACAAGCCTAGCATTTGATCATGTGGTCACAACTTACATTTTAAGCAAATACTACTTGACTCACAGCAATGTGATTTTTTAAAATAAGGTGTGAACAGGTCTCTCTATATTTATTTCAATGACTTTAAGTGCCAGATATAAATTCTTAAGTATTAAATGTATCATATTAAATCAATAATTATTAAAAATGCCTTCAATATAACTTTTTGATTTGGGTCTTTTGAAATAAGTCACTAATGCTAAGCTACAAAAAATAAAAAGAAGTAAGACTACCTTTTAAAATTCTTCTGAGTGAAATGATCAGACATCTTCAGATCACTAAGGTAGGAACATACACACCAGTTAAATACAATTTATTTCTTCAAAAAAGCTATTGCTCTCATAAAGCTGACAATGAGAATCCCATGTTTACAAATGCCTAACATACTGCAGTAACACATGCATACTTGCATGAGCTACTGAATCTGCACACAAGGGTTTCACACTGCTCAGAAGGTTAAACACAGAAATGAAATGAGTATTGCACTACTTACAGTATGAAGGTAGATTTGGGATGAGAAACAGGATTTACAACACATGATCAAAGCAGTTTTATTAATAATTGTGACACTCTTCTCATATATATGTAAAAAATAAATTGAAGATCAAGTCATAGACAAGTCTCCCTGTCAACACCTTTCCCTGAGTCAGCTTTCTTCTCTTTTCGGCTTTCAGTGCTACAAAGGGAAAAAAGGAAGAAATTTACTACTGTAATCCAGCTTGGTTGCTACAAGGTTTATTTGCTCAGACATGACATGAAGCCTATCAACCCCAAACAATACAAGAGCTCTTAGGCATTGCTCTCTCATGCTGCAAGGCAGAGATAGACAACAACAATTAAAATCCTGTGTACTCAGTGAGCTAGAAACCAAGAACTACAGAGAGGGGGAAATTTTAAAAAACAGGCACTGAGAAACAAAAAAGACTTCCAAAACAGTTCATAAAGCATGCAAGATTAATACCATGGACCTTGTCTGGGAAAACGAATCATTGATGATTGTTGAAACTGCCAGTCATGCTCCACCTTAAGATAGCACTAACGCTAGAAAATTACAGTCAGAACCTCCAGGCTCTTCTGCAAATGGCTTTTCCTTTGTTCCTGGACTGTATCTTGATCTTTGGTGAGGATGATGCCTTGGTTGAGTAAGGCAGACACATCTTTCCTGGTCTGGAGGATGGGTGACCCCATACAGTCCCTCTGCACACCTGTGCTACCTTTACAAACAAATCCTCAGAGTGCACATCACAGGAATGATACTTCATCTCCTTCTAGAATAAACTTGCTCCTCAAAGCTTCAGTTTAACCTCATCTTATAGTCAGCTTTACCAATAATCGTGCAGGAAATGTAACTCTACCATTTTGTTGAGTTTCTTGCAAATTTTTTCATTATGTACTTTTTATATTCTCAAATTGAAGTTTTCACAGAAAATTTTAAAAAATGGGCTCACATAGGAAACTTTGACTGAGAGTGTATGCTTCCAGAATGGCAAAATTCTCATTCCTCAGGACTTCCAGCACTTGGCAGATCCCTCTAGGTTGGAGGACTCTTTGTGCACCTCCCATTTCTGCCATAAAGAACAACACACACCCAGCTTCTAAAACCCTGAACTGGAAGAATCAACAGACTGTTTACTGTTAATTTCAGCCTTTAATGTACATTTATGAAATAGTTGAAGGTGGTAGCATCCTTGGTTTTACAAATGCTCTCTGGGTGATAAGGAACCAAGCCCTGTATTTCTACAGGGCTTCCTGTGCATCTTTCAAGTGGTCAATAACTTAGACATATTCTAAGAGTGTGTTTTTAAAATTGTTTTTCCTCCAATTCAAGCTAGAAACAGCCCTTCTCAGTTGTCACCACCACCCGGCACCATCAGGTAAGAAGTGCCGGAGCTTCTGCCATCTGTGGCACGCTGCCAGCACTGAGAGCTGGTGTGAGCGAGTGTCTATGGCACCCGGGTTTATGCCTGCCACACTTCTCAGCACATACTCCTTACAGGTCAGAGCAAAGCAACTTTTTTCTCTTTTCTTTTCTCCTTCCATGAGAAGAGATGACAGTGTGCACATGATGTGTTGAGAGCCTTAACTCTGTATTTTTAACTCCTCTATCTGTGACTCATTTTCTTCTACTTTAAGTTTCTTTTATATGACAAATGTCTGCTGCCCTGCTTTCCAAATTAACTTGTCCTTGTGCTTTACCTGTCTCCCATCTCTTCTCCCAAACAAGCCAATGCAACAGGACAGAATGGGGGCGATGGAGATGGAAATGGAGATGGAGGATCTGTGTTCAGCTTCTAAAAATTAAGAATGAGGTGTGTGTCCTATGACCAGTTATTTAATCTCACTAAACTAGATTTCTTCATCATGAAATTGAATTTGGGGCCAGAAGGCCTCTGAGTCTTCTTGTAGCTCAATTCTAGAATACTGATTCTGATATTCCTGCTTCCAATGGACTCTGTTTTTTGGACAATAGAATGATATATTTTATCTATAGGAGATTGTGGGGACAGACACAGTAGCATCTACTCATACATAATTCCTATGTGTGCAATAATTTGGTATCACATAACATTTTGATAAATGACTTCTCCATGGCACATTACTTGCCAAGCAATGAAGAGATGAGAGAGAGAGAGAGAGAGAGAGAGAGAGAGAGAGAGAGGTTTATAATGTCAACTAGACCCACATATCAGCTTTCTCCTGATCTGCATTGATTATATTGGTGGAATTTTTGTTATAAAGTAATAACTTATTAAGTGATTGCATTACCTGCATTCAAATTAGTTTGAGAATCATATTCAGTTTAGCAAATGAAGAGACAGAAGAGCTCAAGAGCACTGTGAAAATTCTGTTTGGATTTTCCAATTGTACAGCTCTCTCTCTCTCTCTCTCTCTCTCTCCCTCCCTCCCTCCCTCCCTCCTCTCTCTCTCTCTCAAAATCTTTCTCAGTTTCCGGTTACATTCATTTTTCTAGATACTAATCAGTTTTATGCTTTCATTCTTACAAACATATATGACACGTATAATATTAGTTATTATAAAAACAAACATTCTTGGAAGACCTAGGAATACAAGATAGACAAAACTCTTCTTGCCCTTAAGGAATTGCTACTTAAACTATACGGAAGTAACCTTTCAAGGAAGAAGAAAAGGTAACCCACTACTGTCATGCTACTAAGAAATCTATAAGATGTTACCCTCCAATGGCACTAAATTATTCTAAGGAATAATATTTACCAAGTGGTTGTGAGAAAGCCCTCCTGGGCAATCACAGCAAAGATGTAGAATTCAGGATAAGAGAAGGACATGGGGAGTGTAGGGGAGGGACGAAGAGAGGAGCAAGAAGGGAGTCCCAGAGCTTAGCTTTTGCCACTGAAGCAGAACTAAAGGCTCTTTTTCCTATCACTTAGAGGGACCATTGCAAGAAAAGTTATCCTAGGTGTCCATTTTATCAAACTAAGCAGTCACTCACTGATGGTACTGTAACTGTTTGTAACGAGACCTATTTCTACCAAACCATATAAGAAGCCATGGAGGAGCTTGTCATATGTGTGTAGATGACTGTTAAACCAGGATCAAAGTGAACTCCCTACAGATAAAGAAGAATTTGTCATCAACTCCTAGTTTCTACTTCTAGTGAAGCTAGGTAAAATATTTCTGAAAACAAAATGCAAATTAAACAACTGAGAAAAGAACTGCTGTTCTAAACCTGATTTGTACAGGTGTTCAGGCTTCATGAAATATACTATAGAAAGGACAAACGGAAAATAACTGGGGTTGACAGAGTGGATCAAAGGCTGCACAGAGCTGGTTGAGGTGGCAAAAGATACGGATCCCAGTAACCTGATCTTTAGGCCCCTTTTGACAAGTGAATGCTCTAACAGCGAATTTCTGAGCTCTTCTGTCATATTTCAATGCCTTCAACAGATACTAAAGGGAAAGTTATTGCTACTGCTAATATGGATGGTTTTAGTATTTCTGGAAGCCACTACTTTCTTTTCAGAGTTTGCACTGTTATGAAAATGAAATACATTAACCACAAAGCAATGTATATTTTTAATGTGGACAGGTATAGATGACATAACATCAATAAATGGAGAAAGTACTAGGCACAATCAGGAGGATCACCAGATTAAGGCCAGCCTGGGCTACAGAATGAGATTATTTAAAAAAATACATACATACATACTTACATGCAAAGAAAGCTGGGATTAAACTTTCATTCCATAATGGTTTGAAGTTTAGATTAGTGGGAATATATATTCAAAAACCAAGAAACACATGATTATGCCAATATATGAATGATAGTCTATTTCTATTTAGAACCAAACTCATTTCAAGCACATTACCATATTCACTAGAATCAATCTACTCCTGAAATAAGTAATACAAATATTTTTTAGACAAGTATGCTTATCTGGTAATGGGCATCATTTGACTTTACTATTTACTTTGAGAAGCACATAAAGTATCAAATCATAAAACCTTTTCTTAACACCAAGAAAAACAGGAAGGGTTTGGAGTATGGATCCATGAAATTCAGAAAGAAAATTCTCCACATATTTCCCATGGCTGGCATTTTATTTTGAGCCCACCAATCTCGATTCCATATTTTAAAAGAAATCAGAGAAATGGTAGATTTTACTGTGAAAGGGTCATAAGCACACATTTTCAAGGACTCAAGTCCCTCCCCTTCTCATTACTCTGATTTTCTTTCAGGAGTTTTAGCAAAAGGCAGAATTACTGCAAGGATGATTTCATGGGACTAGTGCAGGGGTTTGGCAGAAAGAAAGCTACATCATGTTTTAGAATGAAGCAACACTGCTACTTGACCCAAGCAAGGAAATACATGGTTTTGAAGCCCTGTTCAAAAACATCGTCCAAAAATCTTGGAGAGAGCCTATTAAGAAACTTATATTAACCTCTTTTGGTATAAGTTTTGGAGGAATTTAGAGTCAGGCAATCAGAGGGCTTTAGAGAGAGTTAATTAGAGGAATCAAAGTCAGGCAATGGAAAGAGAGGACAAGGGAAGGAGGTTGGGAGGTTGGGAAGGAGGGAGGAAGGGAGAGAGGGAGGGAGGGACAGAGGGAGGGACGGAGGGACGGAGGGACGGAGGGAGGGAGGGAGGGACTACCCCCAGCTTCTGGAGTGAAGATGCTTATGGTCTTGTTCATTCTGCTTGGTTTAGAGATGACACTGAAGCAGCATGCCATTTTGGGGTGACAAAAACTAGCAGTAAGATACAGATTCCCCAATTCTAACGAAATCTCTTTCTCTAGCCTATGGTTCCAATTAGATTTCCTGAAGCTTACAAGTTTGGATGAATCATGGTAACATGAATAGAACTCCAAGTTTTGGAAATACTTAATTTAAGGGACAATTTTCTTTTTTCAATCTAGAAATTTGATGCTGTTACTTACTAATTATAGTCCTATGAGGTCTATTGTTTTATATATGATGCATTTGTATACATTAAAGAGGGAAAAATCTTTCTTCAAGTTTCAGGCTCCCTTAAAGAATGGAGTAGTTGTAAGAATGCCATAAAATTCAGTCTGATATTGGATTGTAGCCCAAGACTCTTTAGGTCTTTTGCCTCCCCAAAACTCACACAGATGACATAGGCTGACCAGGCTTCCAGAAGACACCATTTAACATAAGGAAATGCAACCAGGGAGTAGGTTTGAGGAGAAGCTCTTACCTTTGGGGAATCAGCTTCTAGAGTGATTAAGAAGGGGAGCTTATGACAAAAATGTAATATAAAAATTAAGTAGAAAAAGTTAATTTAAGGTTATAAAAATAAATAAACAATCATTATAACACCATCCCAATAGCCTCAACCACTCTTTTACAAGAAGAGATACTAGTGTATCACAAGTTTTTATTCTTCAGATTAGAATCTAAGATGACTGAATGATATGGTTTGAACTCATTTATATTCTGGAAATTCAACTGAAAATCCCAGGATGACCTAATATTTAAAGATACAATCTTTCCTCGGCATGCATTTAAAATCACTACCACAGCTACAGGAGTTTTTTGCATGTTTACAGAGAGACATATAAGAATAGATAGAGTTTTCAGAGGTGAAAGTTTCAGGGTAAGATTAAAGAAAAGTTTCAGGGGCTTGGAAACAGGAGACTAGAAATAATCTAAATGTAAAGTCACCATTGCATGTACCAAATCACTTTCAAAAAAAGGAAATAGAGAGTGGGAAATGTGTCCAGGCATCTACAGGGCTCCTGGGAAGTATGTGATGAGAAAAATACAGTGAAATCATACAGAGAGAGAAAGACAGAGTGGGCCAAAATGAATGTGCAAAAACATCATGCACTGGGACTCATTAATAGTTCCATTTCCCCCCCACTGTGATAGTTTTGGAGTGAATTTTAATTTGAAAGGGAGATACTGAGAAACATTTTATAAAAATTGTCATTTCTACCTCCTTTCAAAGGAATTTTCTGAAAGATTTTAGAACTAAATTTGATGGAAACCAATAGTTTCTTTTGCTAGTGAATTTATGTCATAAGATCATTGGACTTAGTATAACCTCGTTATTTTAAAATTCAAACCTTTTAGAAGGAAAGCTTGACTCCTTATCTTTTGAGTTATCAGCAGTAATCAGGAGGTTCCTCCACATGGCAGTCTTTGACATTTCATCAGAAATGTTGATCACAGATGGATCATCTCTAGATCGGAGTTTACCCAAAATGAAATAATGAACAATAAATAAGTAATGAAGCATTCAATAAGAGAAGCTAAATAGAGAACAGTTTTATGACTATGTGAAATTTTTTGTGATAAAATACATTTAACAAAATTTGCCATCTTAACCATTTTTAAATGTGCAATTAAGAGCTATTAAAACTTTCACAATACATAGCCCATTACTACCATCTGTCTCCAGATTTCTTTTCATCTTGTAAAACTAAAATTCCATATCCATTAAACAGTAACTCTCCACTTCCCCGTCAGCCCAGCCCCTGGCAACCACTGCTACACTCTCTGTCTCTATGGTTTTGACTATTTTAAGTGCCTCATATAAGTTGGATCATACAATATTTGTCTTTTTTGTTACCGGCCTATTTAATTTAGAATAATGTGCCCATGATTCAGAATGTGCTCTAACATATGCTGAATTTCCATTTAAGGTTAAATAATCCCTTGTGTTTATTTTGTTTAAAGTTTTGTTTATTATATATTTTATATTTAATAATTTTAAATTGCAAAGCATTGAACCTTTCTCAATGATTAAAAAGCATCTTTAAAACTCTAAAGAAAAGATTCTAGTTATATAGATACAGATTTGGGCTACAATTTTCTGAATTCATCCCAGATCACAGAGATCAGATTCTATGTGCACATGTGTGTGTGTGTGTGCATTGATCATTTTCTTGCACCTCTAGCACTTGCAACACGGTAGATCCCCACCATCATCTCCTGAGGTCCTGTAGTGGCTTCAACTCTCTCACAGGCCTGAGAAACTCTGTGCCTCCCTCAGCCTCTGGCCTCACCTCTTGCCATCTTCCTCTTACCTCTGCTTACTGTTCTTCCACCACAGTCCAGTAGTCTACAGACTGCATTTGAAAAGTCTAAGCAGCTTCCCACTGCCTCAGGACCTTGGCCTAGATCCTCCCTCTGCACATTGTGCTTCTCCGTATGGTTAGGACCTCTTATTTAATTCAAATTTGACCTTCTCATGCAGGCCTATGATGACTACATTATTTTAATTGTTGTTTCTTCCCCTTATACCATCCCATTTCTTGTTTGCTTTTTCAATTCATTGTGCTTTATCATCTACAATACTATAACAGCTATTCATATTTCTGTTCCCTGTTCTTGACCTCTATTTGACTTAAATTCTCATGACAAAAGAGTTCTAGGTCATTGGCTAACTGCTGTACCTTCAGAAGCCAGCTAGAACTAGACATATTGTACTCACTCAATATTATTTGTTGAACAAGTAAATGCAGTATGTGCATTTAACAGAGCTTTTCCCATGCAGCTGGGGAGCCTACGGTATTAGGTATTGTGCCTGGTGCTTTTCTGTGTTTGTTTGTTTTGTTCTGATTTTATTGTTTAAAGTGATACTAGCTACAGGTAACATTTATGATGCTTCAAAACCTCCCAAGGCTAGAAACATGATCACATGGAAGCAGCAACTGATCATAGACCAAGTGAAAATTTTAGTAACTGAGAAAACAGGAGGCTTTTTTACTATACATGGTAAAGATACTTTACTATGCACACAGTCACATCTACAGAGATCCTAGGATGCCTCGTGTGAATTACATTTGTGGTTGTTCATAAGAAGACTAGAGAGCCAATATCTAAGATGAACAAAGCACTAGGACTTAGTGTTGCTCAATTTGAAACTGTGTCTTTAATTCCTCTAGCCTTCTTGAAAATGTAATTTCCTAGAAACTTAGAGCATGAGATCAACTAACTTCCAAGAAAGCACCATGTGGAAAATATGTATTTCATGATATTATGTGACAGTTTGTGAACAAAAAGGTTTAGAAAATTCTGAATTAAACAAAATTAAACTTTTTAAAAAGGCTAGTATCATTTTTATTATTTCATATGCCAAAGTACACTGTGAATTTACAAATTTGAATGCAGTATGGAACATTTTTCAAACTTATTTAACCTTGCAGTCCTTTTGGGAGTGGCACTTCATGAAACTAGATTCCTTAGAACACACATAAGAATACACTGATTCAAACTCAGTCAATGGATCAGTTTGCGAGTGCGACATGATAAAACTAGATACCTTAGAACACACACAAAAATACACAGATTCAAACACAGTCACTAGAATTTTAAATGAGAGAGAGAGAGAGAGAGAGAGAGAGAGAGAGAGAGAGAGAGAGAGAATGAATTATGACTACACTGTTGGGGGAATAAGATTTTAGAGTAAGATTCTGAATATCCAACAGGTTCTTTTCCTACTTTGTTTTTTAAATGTTATGACAAATCTCTCCCTCACAAAGAATTTCTTTACTTATTAATGGCATAGCCTGAGAACCCTGAAACTATGAAATTGGGTACTAAATAGTACTTAAAATAGGCTCTTATAAGAAAATTATTCAAACTAAACTATTTGGAGAAGGAAGGGAAGGAAGAAGACAAACTAGAGTGGAGGAGAGGGAGGGAGCAGAAAAGAAAGGGAGGCCAAGTGGAAAGAAAAGAGCAGGAGCGAGAGGCCCTGGCCAAATGCTTAATAAAAGCGTTTGTTATAAATTATAAAAATTTGCTTTTTTGCTGTCTTTGTATATGAGAAGGTTGGTATATTTCATAAACCTGCATGAGTATTTTCTAAAATGACAGATATGACTAATCCCTAAACTAAAAAAAAAAATAATAATTCTCTTTTTGGAAGTGCCTTTTGTTAGTGGAAAATTCCCAGAGTAAAAATATTTTTCTACAGTCAACTTGTTAAATGTTGACCTGATTTATACTAGAAGTTAATGGTGACCTATGTCCAGGTAGTAGCTTCTGAGAATATGAAAGTGATCTTTCGTGTACATTATAAAACATGAAAAGACTTCAGACAACATTCTCTGCCCCACAGCATTTTATGTTCCTTTTATATAGTCACAGAGCTAATTTTGGCAGAATTTACTGTATAGAATTTATAATTTATATCTTGGTTTTGGATTTTTTTTCATTTCTAACATAAACTCAAGACAGCCACATGGTATTAAATTCTTAAGGAGAATATATATCAATGAGCTCCATGACTCAAATTAATGTTTTTTAAATGCGCATTTTACCTGTAGTGTCCCTCCAGTGGGAGTTGTACTGTGCCCTCATCATCCATGGCTAGCATACTTTGTTCTTCCTGGAAAGACAAATGTAAAGTATGCAAAGTGAACCTGATGGATCTCCGTTTTACAATGAAGAAGAAACACAGCTAATGTTTTATTATCTCATTAACCTTGGGACTTTCCACTTTGCTTGCATTTATTAATGCTAGCACAGGTCCTTTTAAGAAAGCCTTGGCTACTAAGAACATAAATAATTAATGAAAGTCTCATAACACAAAGTAATTTAAATGCTAACAACAATCTCCTTCATGTCATTCAAAATAAAACATGGTAAACTTCCAACCACATTGGAAAATAACCTAAATTTTACAAGAACAAAAGTATGGGCAATGCAATCAGTTTGGTTGTTGTAAAGCTTGTTCCCTGGAATGCTCTCCTGGGAGGGGATAGAGCACATATTCACAGTAGCTCTCAAACTACACCAGCGTCACCTGGAGGGCATGCTAAGAATGTCAATCATGGGTCTTACCCCCAGAGATTCTGATTCTGGAGATCTGGAATAAAGAGGGCACACAAATTTACATTTCTAACAAATTGCAGGTGGTGCTGATTATGCTGATCTGGAGACCACATTTTGAGAACCATTGCTCTAGAGACTTGGAAAAACACAAAAGATATCTTTTTATATGCATCAAAACACAGGTTCAGGACTAAGGGAGATGACTTATAAGTACCTGCACAAGCATGAGGACCTGAGTTCAGATCCCTAGCACCCATGTACAAGCCAGGAAGCACCACATTGTTCTGTAAACCCAATGCTGAGGGGAGGAGACAGATCCACAGTGCCCATGTGTCAGCTGACCTAGCCAACAGCTGTTCTCCAGGTTCAGTGAGAGACCCTATCTCAAAAAAATAAGATGGGGAGTGGTAATGGGAGACACCCTACCTCGACCACATGTATCTACATGACTATGCACAGAGAGAGACAGAGAGACAAAAGAGAGGGAGAGATTTGCCATTTGCCCCATGAAGGAAGAAATGGACGATTTCAATCAGATGTCTCTTCGACTTTGTTTCGTGCTTCAGATTTCTTTGAAATGCCAATATTCTAACCTTCTGCAATGGGTGAAAATACTATATTCACATATGCATTTCTTCATATATAGCATTTTAAAACTATACAGCTTTGAAATTAAGATACTCTTATGGCTATTGTGTGAAAATGTCTTATTTTAGTTTAGTTTTTCTGTCTACCTGGGAACGGAGGAGAGAAAATGGGAATGGCTGAAGGCTCCTTGTTTCCCTCTATCTTAGCACAGGTGGTATGGCCTAACTAGGTTTAACCAGCTAAACCTAAACCAGCTGCAAAAACTCAGCTTAGTTCAACTGACCTGAATCAGTTGCTAGAGAGATATGGCCTCGACTGCTGCCATTTTCAAGCAGGCAAGGCCAATCATGGGTCCTCTATATTCAAACCTTGACCCTCCACTTGCATCCTTCACTAGCTAATGTTCTATGGCATATTTCTTATTATTTAAGGTGACAAAGTGTTCTCAAAAGCTTCTTCAGCTGGCTAACCTATGATATGTAATACAACATAATATGTAATACACTGTAAAGGCAAGTCTCAGTTCACTTGCAGCACTTTCCCAACCTGCTTGCCAAGGCAGGCCCCTTTGAGGATACTTTAGCTGTAATGCCTCCAGCCCATGCTGAGGAATAATGGAGAGGCCCAGGGACTACACACCTTATTGTGTATTTATACTCTGTAGGGCTAATTATATCCTCTTGCAGCCAAGGTCTAATTTTATTCTCTTTCTCCTGTTTTACACGGAGTTTGTTTCTTTCAAAGCCCATTTATACCCTTGTCATTTGGCAGTAGTAATTCAGTGTGAGTAGTGTATTAGTTACTTTCCTCATTGCAGTGACTAAGAACCTGACAAGAATAAACTTAAGAGGGTTTATCTGGGCTTACTGTTTAATGGTGGGGGAGGCATAGCAGCAGAAACCTGAAGCCCCTGGTTACTTGCACATGCAGTCAGGAAGCAGAGAACAAACCAGAAGTGAGACTGTGCTATAAAGCCTCAAGGCCTGTGCCCAACGACCTATTTCTTCCACTGAGGCTCTCTATACTAAAGGTTCCACTGTGTTCCAAATCAGTGTTACCAGCTAGGAACCACATGTTCTAAAACAAGAGTCTATGGTGGACATTTCACATTCAAAGCACAGCATTACATCCCATATCCCATAGGCTCATGGTTATCTTATAACCCAAAATGCATTCATTCCAACTTCACAAGTCCCCATAGTCTTTAACAGTACCAGTACTGTTCAAAAAGACTCAAGGTAATCTCTTAATTATGAGCCCCTGTGCCATCAAAAGGCAAGATAAACACTTTCAACATGCAATGGCACAGATAATCATTCCCATTCTACTGTGGAGGAATGGGGGCATAGCAAGCTAATAACATACCAAAGCAAAACTAAACCCTAGGAGGACAAAAACCAAATCCTATAGCCTCATGTTTAGCACCTGAAACTCATGATGGAATCATCTGGCCTCCAAAGGGCTTAGGTGGTCCCACCTCTCCAGTTCTTCAGCCCATGGCCTACACAGCCTGTCTTGGCCCAGATCCACTCCCTGATGCTGCTTTCCTCAGCAGACATTCTGTGGTTGGCATGTCCAATATTGTGAGAGTTTTATCATAACTTAGCCTTTACCATCACAGCTGTGATGGCCTATCAGGGCCTCCTTGCCATGACTCCAACCCTGCAACACACTGTCTGGCCTCAGTGGCCTCCAGGAAACTTATGACAAGGCACCATGATCCCTCTTACATCTTCCATGCCTATAAACCACTATCACACAGATGATGTGGCAAAGTTCCTCTGCCAACTCCAGATGTGGTCTTGCCCTCTTAGAAGACAGCTGTACCAGTTTTTGTGTCCTGACCCTGAGAAAACTTCCTGTTTATGAGGTGGAAACACTTTCAGCAGCATTCTCAGATTAGGCTCTAGTCTTTCAAATGAATTTGCATTTTCACCAAGATGGAGCCTTCAGTGAGTGAAGTCTTGCCTTCAAAGTAGGTTTCCTAGTGTCCCCGTGCACAGCACAAGGTTTCTTTTTAATGGTGCTAGTCTCTAATGATTCTAGCTACCTTATCAGAAACAGCCTTGTGTGTAACTTGACACTCACTTCTTTCCTGACCAACTGTACTTTTTCATTATCTTTCTGTCCCAATTGTTGCTCTCTAACCCTAACCCTAACCCTAACCCTAACCCTAACCCTAACCCTAACCCTAACCTGAATAAGAGTAATACACAGTAACCATGACTCAACCTGAATGCCTGTTTTGTATTTCCTCAAAACAGTTTAGCCCCTTACTTTTGAACTCAGCCTCTCTGAAGTTCCCAGAACGCAGGAAGCCTAAACTTTAAAAAGTCAGATTATTTGACAGAATATGACATGAATGGCCTCTAGTCCAGCTGGAGTCCTTGCTCCCTTCTGAAGCCTGATGAGTTGGATGGGATTCCACTGCCCACATTTCTGTCAGCATTCTGGTCTTCTGAACTTCCACCAGGATGACCCATTAAACTCTGTTTACAGTGTTCTTGGACTCTTCTAGGCCTAAGTTCCAAGTCTTCCAAATTCGTCCCACAAACCAGTGTCAAAGGTCTAACAACCACATGGTCAGGCTTATCATAGCAGCAAACTAATTTCTTGGTAACAAATTTCTGTATTAGTTACCCTTCTCATTATTATGAGTAAATACTTGACAAGAATCAGCTTAAAGGGAAGGGCACAGGGGCTTACAGTTAATAAGGGATACAGTCTATTACAGCAGGGAAAACATGGTGGCAGGAATGTGAGGCAACTGGTTACATTGCATCAACAGTCATGAAGCAGAATGTAGACCAGAAGTGAGGTCATGCTCTAAAACCTCAAGGCCCAATCCCAGTGCCCCTTTTCCTTCATTGAGGTTTCACTTCATAAAGATTCTATAATCTTCCAAAACAATGTCACTAGCTGGGGATCAAGCATTCAATCGCCCGAGCCTACAGAGACATTTTGTATTCAAACTGCAAGAGGACAATAAGTTGAAGTTATCCATTTAAGTCCAAGAAAAGCTAATTTGCAGCCTAGAATGAGATATACCAATTAGATAGTCAGTATATATGGGATAGAAAATATATACTGTAGGTTATTGCCATTGCCCTAGGTTGCCTCCAAGAGCTTGATAGGTACGATCCTATTGCTGAAGACACCACACACTTTAGACACAAGGCTAGAAGAAATTAAGCTGGAACTGATCTGGAAGCTTCCACCCTGAGGGTTAGCTCTCATAGTGCCAGAAGTTGCTATATAAGCAGCCAAGAGAAAAAAGCAATCATTAGTCCTCCCCAGATGTAAAGCCCATGAACCACAACAATGAATGTGCAGCAAACTATCTCTATTGGTACAGTAGTGGCACTTTTATCTTAGGGGTAATCAACAGCTGTCTAATTGGACTTAAGGCCTGCTCAATAGGAGGGAATTCATCCCTGGTGCTGTAAACTTAGCCAAATGCTCAGAGAGGTATAGCTGGAGAGGTCAAAGACCTCTTCTTATAGAGGAGAACCACAGATCCATAGATAAAGGGTAGTTCTTACCACTAATCAAAGAAGCTTCTTTTTGCAACAAATGGAGACTATTACGAAGTCCTACAACTGGTCAAAATGCAGAGAATGAGTAATCATTGGGTTCCCAGCCCTTGTTGGTACATCTACAATGCAATCCCTATACCTAAGACTTAGGGATCATCACTGAAGAGGGGATTATAAGAGCCACAGAATCAGGATGCCTGCTGCAAGATGGTATCATCTAGGCATGACAAGGAAGCTACATCCATGAAATCTCAACAGTATGGTTGCCTAAAGAATATCTGCATAATAACAATACTAGTGGACATGTCAATTTGAATGGAAGAAATTTCATAGGGTCTCACCACTAGATGAAGAGTTATAAGCAATCAGTGGCTGCTGAGGGAGCCAAAATCAGTTTTCCCCGGGTATGCTCTCCCTGATAGGTTATGTA